TGTGTGTGACATTGCACGGCCCAAGTTCTGATTGGAAAAGCTTAGTATCGATACTTGGAATACCTAGGACTATCGTGAAAAGGGGGGCAAGGGAGAAGGATTCCGCACTGGCCACCAGACCAGTCCTAGATGGGCCCACTAAAGGATCTACAGAGAAAAGTGAATGTTTACGATACCTTCAAAGAGTCCAATCAGAGAATCGCTGCCCGGTCCGCCGTTCAGCCACAGAGTAAGTGGCGCCTCGTTGGGGTTGTGCCTGGCCTCGAAGAACCAGAAGAACATGTGAAAGTCGTCCGCCAGGTCGACGTATCCGGAGTACGAGTTGACACCTGGCGTCGTCTCGCAGACGCCCTCGAGCTCGGGCTGCTTGTAGCGGATCGTGGCGCCTCCCGGAGAGGTGATGGTCTTGACGCCGGTGGGCTCAGCCGGGACTTGCTTCTTGATCAGCTTCTCAATGTGCTCCGGCAGGGAGCCGGCAGCCGAGAGGCAGGCATAAAGAGAGAAGAGCTGCAAGGCTGCCGAAGCAGTCTTTCGCCCGAGTCCGTACATGATGCTTAGCTAGGTACAGACAACTCCGCTACGATGGCCTTCGCCTCGAAGATTTTGGACGGAGGGATCGAGGGCTAAGAAGGGAGAGGTAAAGAGAGAGAGGTCGGACGGAATGGATGCCAAGCCGGGGGTCCAGCACACTGGTACTTATATAAATCCGTGATTATTATTTTTTATACATACCTATCGACGTGCAGATAGGGATCGGCCTCGACTTCGTACGGTGTCAGGGAGAGCTGTGTCGGCTGGGCCTCTCACCCGCATCTGTACGTCCGAGTCTGCATAGAAACTTCTACGAGGTTATTTCCGAGACCCTTGCGACTCCAATTCTCTCCACTCTTTGCGTGGGCACCGAGCAGGATATCAGCCCGCCAAGTGACGTGCCTGCGTGCTCAAGGCATAGATCAAGGCTTTCGAGGAAAGCGAGGCTTGTCGAGCTCTCCAACCCATGATAACAACGTCGTAAATCACTTGCCGCATAGAAATGAAAAAAAGAGACCTACCCGTATCGATGTAACAATACCCCCGTCTTACTTGCCTGTTGTTTGCTGGCATCTGGCATCGGGAGGGCAGCCGAGTACCAAATTCGCGGGGTAATGTTGCAGCAGATCGTCATCACTATCTTCAGCTAGGCTGGTAGGGATGGATGCAGGTTGTTTACCAGCCTCCCTGCTTTTGACTTGAGCTGCCCTGACTTGCCAGCTTGCCTGGCTTCTGTCTAACTGCCTTCATATTAGCCGATCTCGTGGTTAGATAAACCAGGTAAACTGCCAGGCTGTATGAGTAAGGTTTATATATCCCCATCATCGGTCTTGTTGTGCTTGTCGTATGTTGTTGATCTGTTTATCAACCAGGGCTGTCAGGTCCGTGGAAGTGAGATTTCACATTCCTTACCTGAGCTGATTGATAATAGGATCAACCGCGACGTGTTAGACAAAACGGGTTAGCATTTGCGAGGTGCGTTACAGCCCTATTGGTGAAGAGATAAGGTCGTGCTTAAGCTGGAGGACTGTCGAAAGGAACACGAATCGGGAACTCGATAAAAAGGCTCTGTTATCCTGGTCGAACCGGACTCGTGGGCTAGCTTGGTACATATTCTAGATCTACTGACTCGTACTTGAAATGGAAAAGATGAGATGTCCTGGCTAAGCCCGGAATAGCCTTCATGGTGAATGTGAATATACCATCCTTGGTGATACTGCGTAGTAGTATAGGTACCTAGGTAGCTAGATAACGCGCTATCGTAGCGGAACACCAAACCCGAACTCCGATGTAACCACACCGGCTCGGCAGGTCGGGTAGGCCACTTGCTTATTCAAAGCCTCACAGCAACAGCTGGGCAAGCTCAAGTCAAGGACAAGAGTCCTGCAAGGCAAGAATGAATAAATCGACTGTAAAAATATTATAGAAAGGAAATACACTGATGTTGAGCTGTGTAGTCTGGCAGCGTCCTTTCCAGCGGCTCTATTATCTCCCCGGCATCTCCGGCACGAATCGCACCCGCCCCCGCGATACTTCTTAGCGGCTTGGTTGAACAGCCGAAATCAATGGAGACATACGTCGCCTCACGTACTGCCGGTGGGGTTGCCTTAAGTCCGAATCTGGAGACGAGTAACAGCATTCTTCCCTGATATGTTTGAATCTGATCAAAGCAAAAAGTGCTGGCCTGTAACAAATCACTGAGTGATAGATATAAGCTGAGTTACGTTCTTCGCAAATTTCATCGTAGGCATCAGTGATGACCAAGCTCATATTCCGCTGGTGTGCTTACGAGTCGCAATCACTGACGATACCGCACGACCTTCCCTCGATCAACCTTGTGATGCACATTGGTATCTGACGAGTCGTTTCCATGGTGTACCAGACGGTATGATAGGTAGTTCTATTCGGCTCGTCAGGCATGCTCGAAAATCTTGCCAGAGCTTGCTATGTAGAGAACTCTGGACAGGGGAGTCGCATCAGGAGAAGCGAGTATTGGAGTTGAAATGAAAACGGCACTACCATACATATATATAATCTTAAAATTTCCGAAGGTGTTACAGACGATCATACTCCCCGCGCCGAAGCCATTCATCCCTATAGCCTATTTACACGGGATTATACACCATCGCATCTCAATGGCTAAGTCACTGTATGAGCGAAGCAATCGGACTAGACCGACGGGCCAGCAAACATGACAGTTGCCTTTGCTGTCGCATCTGCGTTCATCACGCGTGTAACGTGCGTCTACACGATGGATGAGACAACGACCGGCCCCGGCGGGGGGTTGAGCGGGGTATACGGACTGGGTATACTACACGACCGAGTCCGTGACTGCAATCTCAAGCGGCGGCGACTTCACTGAGCTGCCGACCACTGTTGCATACACCGGCATGTCGGACTTGACGATGGAAACGACAGGGCGCGGCTTGATGCCGTACACTACCACATTGACCAGAGTCTATAGTAATCCGACTACGACAGTCGTAACCAACAGCCACGAGCTGACCGACTGTCCAAAAGGGGCCATATCGCACGCGGCTGGACATAAGAGGACGAAAAGGACTCATAGGGTGTTTAATAGGAAGGGCTGCTGAGGTGATGAACAGGAGGGCGAGCCCATCTGAAACGAATTTACAACTTTGATATGATCTAAGAAAGCAAGTGGTGTGAGTAGATATGCACCCAAGGGGTGCTTTATAGGGGACGAGTCGTAGAAGGGAAGACGGCACGTGAGCCTGTAGGTACAGAGGTGGTATATACTTTATACCCAATAATAACCAAGTAATTTCAGAGGTAATAAAAAACAGAGCTCGAGCATCCAACTGCCCCCTCTCTGCCTTTCCGCGCCGCCTATCTACCACTAGTCCAGCCCAGGCTCGCGCCACCAGCGGAAGCGGCGGTGTACGACGTGCGGGGCGGCCTTGTCGAGCATGGCCATCCACCTGGCGGGGATGTCGCCGTAGACGTAGAGGTGGCGGAGGTTGGGGAGGGCGGCGACGAGGGCGACGAACTCCTCCTCCTTCTTGAGGTTGACGCGGTCGCGCCAGCCGACGTCGGCGACGGGGCGGGGGGTCCAATCGACGAGGAGGGTGTCGAGGCGGGGGGCGCGCTCGAGCACCGCGGCGAAGAAGGAGAGCCAGCCGTTCCACTGCGGGTGCTCGGCCGTCAGCAGCAGCAGCAGCCGTTCGAGCCGCTCCAGCCGCAGCGTGCCGTGGAACGCGAACCCTATGCGCCGGTCACCCCACCCGCGCGACAGCACCCGCACCGCGGCCTGCGCGTGCACCGCCGGCACCAGCTCCCGGTACAGCGCCTTACACGCCAGCATCGCCGCCGGCAGCGGCCGCGTGTGCGCCGGGCCCCCGTCGTCGATGTACACGTGCTGCGGCCGCAGCGTGTCCTCGAAGTCGTTGTGGTTGAACGCGAGGTAGAACTCGTAGATGCGCTCGCGCACCTCGAGCGGCAGCGAGAACAGCGACAGCTCCATGGCTTTCTGCTTCGAGCTGACCGACTTGGTGTTTTGTTTTGAAAGAAAAAACGTTTGTTATGTCTGTGCTGAGGGGGCGAAAGTCACCCAGGCAGCAGTCGACCATGGCTCGGCCTTATGTAATCGCATCAGTCGCATCATTGAAATTCGGTACAACTGCCGGAGTCTAAGCCTAATCTAGACTAGCGGCCAGAGTATCAGGAATAGGGGTTGCTGCACTTACTTCAGCCAGAGTCGACCTGTATCTTTGGGAGAAGCCTATGATAGTTGATGTGCTCGAAGGTTCAAATGATATTGTAAATATTGTATATATGAGGCTTTTGCGAGAGTGACGACGGACGACATTCAGCTGACATACGGTCCAGCGAGGCCCAAACAGCCAAGCTGCCAAGTTGCGCGGCTCGTGCCGTCGGTAGCTTGGAGCTTGTTTTATGCCAAGTTTGCTTAATCCGACTTGCTTCTTAGAGACGTAGGAGGGTTAGGAGGGAGCATGGTTGACTTTCGATATGATATCTGAAAGATGAAGTTCATGAAGTTAATGCATAGCTGCATAGCGTCGAAATCACGCTTGGAGAGGTACCGGTAGGTAACCTTACCGACCAGGGCTGAGGCTCGTACGGACAAGACTAAGGTCTGAAACTCTTCGTAGACTACATATTTACCTATCAGCAGTATCTAGATGCTAGACAGTTCAGTTCCTTCTTACATAAAGTGTCGGGTTGCGCCCAGCATCCTGAGCGAGGATATCCCGTTAGACATTCCGCGCCACAAGTAAAGTATGGCAGAATAAGGAGTCTGTATCATACTGAGCATGAGATGAAAACCATTTCGATTCTCGTATGGTGAATTTGTATTTGGGCATAATAGGACGCAAAAAAAAGGGAAAAAAGAAAAGCATAGATGAAACAGAAATAGGGCGGAAAGGCGATGACGAGTGAAAATATAAAAGGTTTTTTTTTTAAAAAAAAAAAAAAAGAATGTTAATTGCCAAGGGCCAGAATCGAACTGGCGTTTCCTGTAGCGAGGTGAATCCAATAAGTGCCCCCGCTGTGGCTGGCATCCGCAGTGTTTGTGGTGCCTGACATCCGCGTTTAGGGGCCTAGTGAAGCAGAGCTCCTTTCTGACGTCGTAACCACTAGACCACCTCGGCATAAGACATGTTGGTAAAAGTACTACTGCTACTTGGATATTTAACCCTCTACAGTAGTTGGGTGGGGGCGGGCGCAGGCGCGGTAGGTGCCCGGCGCGAGCGTTGCTCCAGGATACCGGGACAACGTCGGCGCATGCGTTGTAGAGTCAAGACGCTACGGTGGACAGATCACTCACTGTAACCAGTCTTCAGGCTGCTGAATCTGGACAGGTACCCCCTAGCGCCTGTCAGTAAGTCGTACCAAGATACCTGGCTCTCCATGGAACACTTCCAACTCCCCCTACGATGCCCACCAAAAGCACATTGGTCCATACTGGAACCGGGCAGTTCACCAAAGGCCTCACAACTGCGAGGAAAACAGGTAGGTATTGGAACTACTCGTAAAATTTTGAATACCCCTATGTAAAATCTAACACTCAATTAATTTCTATAACTGGTCCGGTGTAGACCTTGCGCGCCCAGACGGCGTAGTAGATGATAGACCCGATGATGGTAGCGCCGACCATGAGCGCGCTCATGTTCATGGACTCGGCCGTGGGGTTGATGTGGGTGGGCCAGAAGCTGAAGAAGAGCATGACGAGCAGGAACGCGCAGCCGAAGGCGTTGATGATGGTGCCGAACGGCTCCGGGATCCGGAACGGGCCCCACGCCAGGTTCTCGTGCGACACGTTGACCAGCTCCTTGTTCTCCCGGTTGTACGGCCGGATCTGGCCCGTCACCCGCCGCCACAGCAGCAGCGTGTTGCCGATCAGGTACGCTCCGTACAGCCCGTTGATCGCCAGCGACACGATGTCGTTGAACGCCACCGAGGAGCCTATGTTGATGAGCGAAAGGAGATACGAGATGGTCGTCGTAAGAGCAATCGCGATGATAGGGATCGATGTCCTAGAGTCGACCTTGAGGGGTTTGTTAGCCTAGCCGTCGACTCAGGGGAAGCTCGATACTGACCTTGCTGATATAAGACCAGCCCGGCAGGCCTCTGTCACGGGCGAAAGACCAAGTCATCCGAGAGGCCGAAGCGACCAGAGACACGGTCGCGCAGAGGTTCAAGATCACGAGGATGGAAGCCATGGTCTGGGCGCCCTTTTCCGAGCCGACACCGTTTTCAAAGATGGCCATGAAGGGGTACCCGGTAGGGGTTTCCAGGATAGAGTTGACATCGCCGATGCAGAATAGAACGGCGATGAGGATGCCGAATCCGAGGGTGCCGTTCAGGAGGATGGTGAAGATCATGGCTCGGGGGACGATTACAGCTGCGTTTTGGATTTCCTCCGACATCTGCGAAAGGTCGTTAGCAAACTTGACCTCGATTAAATCGGCCTAGACTGGGGTATCTCCTACATGTACAGCACCGTCGGCACCTATGGTTATACCGTTAGACACGTGAACTTCAATACGGCATCAGCCAGGGGTCAGTGTGAGACATACCTAAGAAGTTAAACACGGACGATATCATGCCCAGCATGAAGGACAAGCCCTGAGTCTGCCAGCCGCCCTCGTTCCTGAAGACGGTGAAGACGTCCTTGGGGTCCGCGTGGGGGCTTAGGTAGACGAGGGGCACGAGGATGGCGAAGAAGCCGAGGACATGCAGGATGAGGACGAGCCCCTCGATCTTGGGCAGGGCGTTGCTGATGATGGTGTTGAAGAAGACGGCGAAGGCGATCGAGGCCCACAGCAGCAGCGTCTTCTGCCACGCCAGCGGCTCGTAGCTCGGGTTGCCCATCACGGCCACGCCCTGGATGAGGCCGGCGGCCAAATAGCCCAGTCCGGCGACGGCGGCTTGCCAGCCGATGACCGTTAACCAACCTTGACGCGTTATCAGTCGGCCGTTATTCATGAGCAGTCAAGGTCGCGAAGGCTATACTCACCAATGAGATAACTCAAAAACTTGCGCGCCTTCTTCGGCCCCAGCATGTATACCCAGTGATAATGTCCACCACTCGTCGGAGCCCTAAAGGGGGGTGGGAATATTAGTCACGATGCGTCGCGATCAAGTTGCGCTGACATGATATGACGACTTGCTTACATTGAGGCCAGCTCCCCCATAGTCGCGAAGATACACAGGGTGCCGATCCAGACGATGATGAAGCCGTAGATGTCACCGGCAGAGCCGCCATTCTCGAATGCTTGAAGAAATAGTCTGCAGGCGCAGTGAGAAAATGCTTCAGGAAGAACGCGTGCGCTGAGGGTGAGCGAGAGGTCTTACACTAGTTCACCTTCCCAGGTGTTCATTACCGTGCAGCTAAAACCGAGCATAGACATGAGGGCAAAATTCCGCTACGAGCGCGATGTCAGCAACCGATAGAGCCTATCTGGAGAAGAACTTCCAGGTCTGCTTACCTTGAGCACGGGAACCTTTCCGAGGCGCGTGAGGGTCTGGTTGTCGCGCTCGATGAGCATCTTGGTCCGGCCTGACGAGGACTCGTCGGCGAGCTGGTCGACGTTGAGCTCGGTCGACGTCGCCTCGTTGTCGTCCCGCTTAAGGGCGTTCATCTCGAATTCCTTCGACATCTTGGCGGTGATCTGTCTGCCCGTGGCGCGCGCCGTACCAGGCCGAGATAGCAAGCTTCCAGACGGGCTCTCTTCCTCCGATGATCTCTACCCGACTCTACGAGCGGAGAAGTATCGCGGAGCTTGTGCGACGGGAGAAAATGGTTATAAGAGACGTACAAGACTTCGATAGGAGCGCAAGCCCTGCACGAGTAGGTATCTTAAAGGACCGTTTCAGCTCCGAGCTGAAACTCAGGGTATCGAATACGCCTGGATTTAATAATATTTAGTCACGTCAAACTTGCCGACGGTCGGTATGCCTAACCTAGTCGACAGGATATCGGATATCGCAAATAAAAAAAAACAATCCAACTCGCAATCCTCACGGCTCAGTGACACGATCCGGATTAGCGTGCTTCCATCCATGCATTCTAGAATGCGAGCTCCTGTCGAAGGAAGCGGACGTGCCACGCTATCAGCACCGAAACAGCAAAGAGAACAATCGACGGGCCGCGATTTGGAATGAGGAGCATGCGGACGAAGTGAGGAGTTCCGTCCGTTCCTCTCCAAGAGGAGAGCAGGGATGCGAGATGAACAGAATCCGACGAAGCTACGTGATTTGCTGCGCTCTGTACTTTTGCAGGAATGCGACCACTATTAGCAGCCAGCTACCCATCTTCTGCCACACCTGGTAGCGGATTATCCTTTCATCTATCTCGTCTCGCTTGTCTTCCCGTTGGCGAGCCTGCGAGCTCCCTCTTCTGGCACATGCAAGGGTCGTGTACGTGGAAGGATTTCGGAAATGTTACCCTATTCGACCCGCTTCAGAGCGCTGGCTCGGTTGGCTCGATGGAACCTTTCACGGACCGACTTGACTGCGCCTGCGCCGTACAAAAAGAGTCCGAAATCGTACGTGAGATAGGCAATCAGCGTGCCGTGAGAACGTGTGGGGGGAAAAGTCGCCTCGGTACGTGCTCTGATGTGAGATCCGATAATCGCGCACAGGCATCGATGCGTACGTGAATCGGCTACTATTATCTTCAAATACTCCCACTTACTATTTCTACTACTACCGTACTCACGATGCTTGTGATAAAGCGTATGAAGTACGGATTAGAGGATCTGCATAGTCGCAGGGTCAAGAAGAACCGGGTGGAGGAGGAATCGTTAATGCAACAGCGCGAGATGGACTGATGCACGCCGCACCAACAGTCCCACCCGAGCCGCGTGTTAGACACATGGTGTGCTTACACCCTTCCCCTCATGAGAACTCGCCCCCAACTAGTAACATGTATCGCAGCCACTCTGACACATGTTTAACAACGTATCAGGGGGTATTATAGACTTGAGAAAAATATCGTAATGTGCTATATTACACAACGTCATGAATCAATGCACCTGGTGAGACTTCACCGTCAGAAATTAGTCCTCACCCGCCGGGCCTGGAGAGCTCGTAACCTTCCAAGTCTTGACCTGCTTGATGAGCTTAACCTGACTCGAGTGGCTCCCAGTTTCCCAGTCGCTCCCGTTCTCTGACTTCTTGACGGTAATCGAAGAGGTAACCGTAGCGTTTGGATGTCCAAGGTTTCGCAGCTCGTTGGGCGAGGCTCCCGTAGGTCCGGACTGGCTTCTGAAAGTAGATATGCCTTGGCGACCGTACCCGGTGATCGACTTCCCCGTGGCGTTTGCGCGGCGTCGAATGTCGTCGCTTCGCATCAGGCCGGACTCGAGACTGTCGAGGAACGGCTTCAGGTAGGGGGTGCAGGCCGTCATGATGCCCAGACTCTGAACTAGCGACACCGCGACAGCAAGCTGCCAATACGTGAATGTCGCGTCTTGGTGGTTTGTGATACCCTGTGCCTCCTTGACCTGCCAACCAGTCGCGGCTATGGTGCTACGGTGTGTCAGTACGCGCGTGCCAGAATGATACGCCAAGAGAGACTTACAGGAGGCGGGTGGCAAAGCACGACGTTACCACGAGCTTGCGTTGGAGTTGGGTCTGCAAATTCCACACCACTACAAAAGGCAGCCATATTAAGCAGATGTCAATTATGATGCTAACCGCGTTGACGTAGTTCCATATCGCCTGTTGGTCTATGCACTTATTCGTGAACGCGTCCCATACCCTCGGCGTGTCGCATTGGAATAGCAGCATCGGGATCGAAGAGAATGACCATGCGAGTGTCGCTGCAGTGAGGATCCAGGTTAGGGTGCGATGCAGGTCGATGGGAGAGATGACTCTGATGAAGAATATGACGGCCAGCTTCGAGAAAGCCAGGCTTGCCACGAAGAGCACATTGGCTGCATAGTAGGACTGCTCGGATGTTAGCACGTTGGGCGAAACAGATAGACAAACGTCTGCTCTACCTTTTGGAAAACTACGATGTTGCCGCTCGAAAGAGTGTCGCGGTGGCGTCCTAATCCATTCGCGACTCCGATCGATGTCGCAATCGTTTGGCCGATGCACAGAATCTGGCAGGGTCAGAACTTGGAACGAGCTGGAAATCGTG